TCCGAGGTTTCCAAAATAAAAAATAATTTCATTCAACCTTTGCATCACTGCCAACTTTATTTCCCCATTTTAAATTGTATCCAGAAAAAAATAACTGAGATATACTTTTTGCCTAAAAATGGCCTTTTGATGTGGGCAATCATTTCCTGAATTAATTTAGGGAATAAAACTGCATCCAGAAACCCAGAGTGGTCCAAATGGCAGCTAATGGTCAAATTTAACCCAGAAAACCATTCCAGCTGGTCCCCAAGTTATTAAGCAATACAGGCAGAAGCTAGTGTATGTTAGAAGATGCTGTACTGTCCATTAGAAATGCCTTTCCAAAACACTGCAGGAGCATTCTTCAGTATTTTGGATGTGTGGAATCAACTGCTTTACACTGTAGTTTTGCATTTCTGCAAACAGTCCCATGGAGATGTCTCCACACTGACATCTGGCTTCCTGCACTAGGAAGGCAGAGGTCACAGGCCACCACTCAGTCACTCTCCATATGGCTATCCTGTTATGCATACATCTTCAAACACTCAAAGAGAGACAGGAATATTAGGAAAACCAGAAATTTAGCTAGCCCAGCCTTTTATTAATGGCTCCAGATGTTTTATTTTCAGGCCTTTAAATAAAAAGTTAAAAGGAGGAAACCATCAATTTTAAGTTCTATCATAATAACACTTTTTCCTCCAGCCTGTGAACTTGGTTCATGACTTCTTAGCATTGCATCCATCTCTAGACAGCTCCTCAGCACCGGGAGGTGACCATGCTACCATTTTGGCCTACATTACTTGTACAAAAGACAAAGTGCACCTTGTATGGAGAAGTAGTGGCACAGTAAAAAGACATTTTATGATTTACCTTCTAACTGTTTTTCTAGCAGTAGTTGCTGTTCTCTCTCTTTTCTCCAAAACGCTTCCTGTTTTTGCCTTATCCTGTGTCGCAATTCCTCATCATCAGTATCAGATGATTCAGAGCCTCTGTCACTCCGCTCATCTTCACTGTCTCCTGATCCATAACCACCCAGTCCACCTGCGTGCATAAAGTCCAGTCTATCACGAGGAAAGATTAAGCTTTGTTCTTAATACTTCTGTGAGGCAAAGAGGAGAGTAACATTGCCCTTCCTTCACTTCCTTGTCTCTGAAGAAGTCACTTTATTCTGGTAAGTGCCAGTGTTGTTTGCCAGTGTGTTCAAGGCCCCCGTGTCTGCAATGATGGTCACTGTCTGCTTCTACTCCTTCTGGAACAGCTTTTCTATTTTCAGCAAGCAACCACTGTGACCATGGTACTTTTTTCCAGTGTATGGAAAGGCCAAAAAAGCTCCCTGTGGAGACTGTAACAGTGCCTGCCTCTGTATCAGCAACGGGACAGAAAATGCCTGGGATCTTTCCCAGAAGACATCTCTGAAATGACTTCAGCTGCCTCCATAGTCCAAGGCTACAGAAATCCTGAATGCCATATCAATTTTTCCATATGATTTAGAAAACACTGCACTTTGACAGGTATGGAGATGGAATAGAAACAGACTTTCTTCTCCCCAAGAGATATTTGTAACTAGTGGACTGATAAGGATAAAGTCAATTTAAACATCGGACATGGATTTCTTTCAATCTGAGGTCCTTAGGATATTTACTGAGTTAGTTTTGAAACATGAATACTTGTGATGGTAACATTCAATCTAATTCATCAATATTCCATGTAATGAACACATAACTGATCACTGACACTGCTGTAGTACATTTTAGATGATAAAAGTCATGTTGGGAGAAATCTCTTGCAGTTGTGTCTCAAGCTGGAATTTCAAATCTCTCTTTCCTGTGTTGTTTCTGGCAGTATATGATATGGAAACCTTTGTGTTTATGTAGCTTTTCAATAAAATAATAATTACAAAGACTATGATATTTTTATTTATAGACTTTCACATTACTCTTCTATCAACTTTCCCCTCTGGTTTCCATGGATCAAAACAGAAGAAAAGTATGAAATAGTATTCCTTTTTGTGAAGGCTGCAGTATGCTTCTATAACTATCATACTTTTAAAAGTAAATCTAAAATTTTTACGTCTTTTCAAAATTAGGGCAAGATTCTCATACACTAAATCACACTGCCTAGTCCTTTACTCCAGCAATTATCCCACTTATATATCAGTAGGATCACCTGTGGAACAAACAAAGGTGCTGATAATGATAAAGTTATCAGAAAGTGACCCATACTCCCAGGCAATTAAAATCTAATTTCAAAATGCAATTTCTAGAAATGCAAGGCAAAAGTGAAACTCCCCCTTTAAGCCCTCTCAAAAATAAGGAACATACTTACCGAGTCCAGTGAGGGAAGCCAGTGCACTGGACTGTGCCAGCTGTTTTGCAGGAGCTTTGTATCACATCAACAACAGGAACAACATGTTAACACAAATAGCCACGATTTCATAGTCATGAGTCTATGGTATTGTTAAATCTACTACTATTGCTGTTCTTTGGAGGGAGAGAAGAAACATTAAAAACGCATCATCCATTTAAAACCACTTCTAGATTTTCTGACCATGAAGATTTAGAATTTAACTGCAAAATTAACAGCGAACAGAAAAAACCCAAATATATACTCATAAATCAATTTCCAAGTTACAGCATCTGCACGTAATTTTCAACTTCAGTAGTTACAGACTTAGATTAACTCTGTTACGTTAAAATAATCTGTTCTGTAAGTACAATACATGTTAATAGCAAAAGCAAATTAATTACTAATTGAGGACTCAAAGTTCATCTCTTTTCACTTCTGAACAGCTTTGAGATAAAGATGACAGTAGTAAGGAACAGCTACAACTCAAGAGCCATTGACACACAGGTACCATTTTAACTGAAATGGATTGTATGAAAAAAATGGAATAACTCAAGTAACTCACAATACACTGCACAGGACAACAGTACATGATTACTGGATTTGAACTCTACCCAAGTTGGATGCATTATACTGGAATTGTTCTTGAGGGAGAACTATGGAGGTTAAATGTTCTAAAGACATGCAAATACAGAATTTTCGCAGAAGAAACTAAAAAGAAAAAACCTCCCAAATCCGGCATACCTTTAGTTGCTTTACGGTGAACATCTTTGGCCACGTAATAGATTTCTTCATTTGTGACATCTAAGAGAATCTCTGTCAGCAGCATTTTTGTTAGCATCATCTGAAAAAAATATTGCATATACAATTAAAGGCCAAAACATCTTGAATAAATGCTGCATTCAAATTATATCCATACAGCTTCACTTCTTTTGATGACTATGAAAGTGGCCTCCTGTATATTTTATTTAATGACTTCTTTCAAGAGACATGACCAAAAAACCAAAAAAAAGATTGAAGCTCTTTAAATGTGACCTGATTTCACAACTTTCAAGTTTCCATTTTAACTGTAAACTGTGTTTGCATGTATTGCACACAGCTATCCAAGGTACTGATCCTAATGTCTAAGATGATGTAACAAATGAATATGTAAATCAGAAATGTACTTAGACCGATTCCAATTATTCTTTCAAAAAATAAAAAGCACTGCTCTGATTGGTATGCTGCCTGTAAATCATCAGAGGTTACTTACATAGCATTTTATTATCACATATTTTCTACAAATATTGAAATGGTAGCTAGTTCTCAAAGTTGTTTATGTCTGGCCACATGCTCTACAAAAATATATTCATCAAACCTAGGAGAATGCAGGGCCTTGATTAACAAGGATTCAGTTGTACAATTTATATTTAACTGTGATTTCGAAGTATGAAGGTTGTGCAGACACAGTGAGACTTGCTGATCTAGGATTTAGGGCTGTAGCACTTCCTTGCAAGAATACATTTCTTAAATTCACAGGAGCTGAGGTTGAAGCACAGATTTGGAATGGATGCGTTTAATCACTAAAAGTTTTCAGAAATTTGGTATTTGAAGCAAAACCATAGAATTAATAAAGATCAATGCAAAGATTACAGTCATTACATTATTTCACTATTGTGCTAAATATGAGTTATATAACCAATATCCTTGTTTCTATGAAAAAGCATTATGAAGAGACATGCAAATATAAACCTGCTTTACTGTACAATGCATACTGTACCGCTGTTGAGAGTACCAGGCATACAAAAAGTGATTTACTTTGATATGCCAGAAAAATATGAGCAATTAAACAGAAAAACTTAGTGAGAACTACATTATTAATACCATTTGATACTCCTTTTCTTCTTCTGTCATTTCTGGTTCACTTTGCTCCTCTTGAGGAGCTGGGGATGGACTCCTGCTGATTTTCCCAACACTTACAGCTTCTGTGTTTTCAGCATCTTCATCTTCCTCATCACTGTCCTACAAGAACAGCATTACACACTTCAGGAAAAACTTAAATATCAAGCTCCTTAGTTTACGTTTGTAATAGTCAATTTCATTTACTTTGTACTGGAAACTGTATTATAGTTTCCATAAAACCATTTATTTTCTCCCTTCCAAAAAAATATGCAGGCACCTGTACCCACACAAGCTAAGAAAATACTTAGTTGTTAGATTCCTGCCAGACACTTTGGACTTTGGACTACAAACAAGGTAATTGCTAAAATAAAGGCAATGCAAGGTTTCCTAAATTGGCCTAGTTTAGAAAATACAGGTATAGGAATTTTTTAAGCTGCTGATTTGGAATTCTGACTTTCAAAAGCTCTGTATGTTCCAAAAGGGGGAAAAAAAAAAAAAAAAAAAAAAGTTCAATTTCAGTCTTGTTTCTTCACTACTACAGATCAAATTACATACTTCTACCTCTTAGCCATTAAAAACTTCAAAAGTTACTTCAAAAGTAAAATATCAAGTAATTATCAAGAGAGCAGCAGCTTAACCTTACTTTAAATAATCAATGAGGTAACCAGGAATGCAGAGTCTCTCCCTTGAAGAGACTAAAAAATTGGTACCTTTCAGGAAATACAAACCTGAGCAAAAAACAAACCCTTCTACTTACAAATTTACTTCTCTGAGGTAACCGTGGGCCATCCCCTTCTTCAGCCTCCTCACTTTCCTTTTTCTCTTTCTTAGACATCTGTGAACGTTGCTGCTCCATTCTCTCTTTTTCCAATTTTTTCTGTTTTTCTCTTTCCATCTTTTCCAGGCCCTCACGAATCCAGGCAGGCAGAGTTCTACGCTTCACAGCATCTACATAAGCAAGATTTACAGTTTTGCAAGATGAAAAAACCTTCCCCCCCAAAAAAGGAACAAAAATATCCCCCCAAAATAAAGAAGTAAACCCTCCACCCCCATCAAAACAAGTCCCACATCTGATTGTGGGGAAAAAACATTTATAATGGCTTTTTCCATCCCTGCTCTTTTACTTTCTATTAAAAAGAAAAAGGTCTTTGAATTCTGCAATTCTTATAAAACACAGCTTTTACATTTTTTCATTAAGGAGTGGTTAACATGTACCAATCTGGGGAGGCTCCTGCTTCACAGGCATCGCAATAGGTGAACGCTGTCGATCTCTGAACGAGGGTCTTTCCCTTCGATTTTGAGTAGGTGCAGGAGGTGCTGGAGGACCTGGTGGCCCTGGTGGTCCTGGCTGCCAATAAGGTGGGTGAAATCCACCTTGAGGTGGACCAAAAGCAGCCCCATGCTGAAAGAGTAATGCAGTTTATTTTTCTTCACATGGTAACACTAAATGCAGCATGTGAGCAAGTCGGTCTACAAAAATCCATGCAAGTAGGAATCCATGATTTCTATGCTACTGAGATCTCTCAATCTCTTTTACCGTGGTCCCCAAGAAACAAGTTTCCTTTAAATATTTAATGACTAAACTTAGACTTGAACAGGGATACTTAACAAACCTGAAAGGGCTTCAACCAATCTTTCATATTGTGCTGAACACTAAGCTCTATAACCACCATCTAGCTCCATCAGTTCCGTGCCAGCTTAGCATCAGAGCATGCAGTTAAATAAAGAGTGTACAACACTAAAATTCAAAAGTCTAGCCACGTTAGCAGTCTTAACTACAATATGAGAACAAAAATTTAAAGTTCAGCCTTTTATTACATAAGAATTTTGCACTGTGGATTTTCCAGTAATCCTTCATAGACCTTATTAATATGACTGATGAAATTATTAGATGCCTAAATATGCAATTTTAGTACAGATCCTGGCTTCTGGGCAATCTGTATGCAATCCAAAAATCTTGAGGCATAGATGAGGAGTTTTTTATTTTAATATTTACTGCCCAGAAATGCCTAATGACACTATTTAAGAAGAGAGTGTTTAGGAAAAAGAGTATAGTATGAAATATTCTACTGAGTATTTAAGTTACTAGCACTAAAGAACTCTCCACTACAATTTCAGGTTAAGCACACCTCTTTCATTCACGGCAAAACAAGTTTTCTATGGTATTTAGAGAAGCTAATTTTAAGAGTTTGTCCCATGACAATAAACAAAAATCATAACAAACTCATGTATTGGAAAATTTTTGGGTCCCTATTTAACAATACTTTTGAACAAGAGAACTGTAAGAGGAAAAATAATCTAGGAGATAAAAAATAGGCTAGAAGATAACAAACAAAAATTCTGCCCATCTTCCATAGTATTTATGAACCGGAGGTAGGTTTTTACACAGTTAGTTTGTCATTCATATCAGGAGTTTTGAAAGAAAAATACTGAAAATGGAGGGAAGATACAAAACTTCTTTGTGTTTAAAGATCTATGCAATGCACCCTGTTATTATTAGTGATAAAACCACCTATATGTTTATTATACTATACATGTTATATGCCAAAATGAAGAAAAAAAGTGGATATGGATTTTTTTTTTTTTAGAAATACCATTGTTTATTCAAAGAATCACAGTAGATAGATATGGAAAAGATCAATGGATCATCCAGTCTATCTCCCTGCAAATACAGGACTGTTTCCTGTGGTACATTATCTAGAGTATTTAAGCATATCTTTCTGAACTTTATTTTTTTTTCCTTCTCTTTTGTTTTGTTGGGGTTTTTTTTAAATACAAAGCTACATAATGTTAATTTATATACTGGAACACAGTGATTCATTTTAATATTGCAGAAAACAGCCATTTTTCATTACTACGGTAGAAAAATAAAACCCTTTTGCCTCTGAACAGAACTGAGAACTCTAAAGTCTCTTCTGTCAATGTTTGGTTAAAATGTATCTTAGCAGACAACAGACTCTGTAGATGTTTGTAGAACTGAAGAATGAAAGTCGCCGCTAGATGATATTAGAGGAACACATCCATGGAAGGGACTCTGCGCGTCTACAATATTAAAGCAACAAATATGTTTCACCTGATAGTCAAACTGGTTCACTGGCCCCATTGCAAAGTTATCAGGAGGTCCCCCAAAGTTGTGATTGTTCTGGTTAAATATATGCCTGTTGTCAGGAGTAAATTCCCCACTGTCCTGACTGTTGCTGTCTTCAGATGGAGGAACAATTTCCATTTGACCTGGGGTTGGAGTCATCCACTGCTGATCTGGAGGTGGGTGAGGGGGCTGGTGAGGCATTCCCCATTCTGTTTAGGAATTAGAATACAATTTGATACCAAGTTAGAATAATTTATATGAGTCACCAATCACTCAGTGTTCTTGTATTTATCACAAGGTTCCTCAAAGCACCACAGATGATAAAGCAATGAAGAATCATCAATCTGCAGACTGTATTATACTGTCTCAATAATTCCTTCAGCTAAATGAATACAAATAGCTATAGCTGAACTGAAACATGCAGTAGGGGGACAGAACTGGACAGACATCCTAAAAATTTGTTTTTACAAATTTCTAGTGATAGTGAACTCACCACAAGACTTACAGATTGCTTAAACTGTTAAAAAACTGCTCCTGCTTCTCTACATCAATTTTGAAAGCTAAAAAGGAGCTATTTTACTCTTTTGCATAATAGACTTGAAATGCCTGCTATGGAAAGAAAATGGTTTTCTAAGCAGCACAACCACTGAAACCCGTGCTCCAATGTCTTGAGTCCGGATAGTGGATGATTCCTTGGATTGCCCAGTATCTAGCAGAGGTCCTAGGATAAGCTATAGTCATAAGCCCTTAAACATATGTTACAATTGGCTAACAGAGTGAAAAGGCTCTAAGGAATGAATTAATAGCTTGTGTAGCCATAATTTTTGACTGACTCCTCAAAAAGATAAATTTTATGTGCACTATACAGATTCTTATAGACCGTGACAGAGCTGCCTTATAACTCTCTCCAGTAAAAGAATTAGTATCTAGCCTCTCAGGTTAATTCCTACATTCTATCCAGTCCTTTAATACATTTCTTTAATTTTTACTGTCCTTCCCATCTGCATCATAATTGGATCCATTACTGTAGCAACTAAAAAGTGCTACCATAGCTTTTCTATTTCTGTGAAAATTTCTATTTACTGTACAGAAATATAGCCAGAATACATTCTGCCACATAGAAAAGTTAAAAATTCTTACATGTGCCTACAGTAACTTGTAGCCTAGTGCAGTTAGGTGAAGCCTGATGGCTTACCTCCCTTTTACTACACATATGTAAGAACTACCAATAACATATTAAGCTTACTTTTATTAAATGCTGCATTTCAATAAATTTGGATAGTGACAGTGAAAACTGGGAGTGTTATTCTTTCAACCATTAACAGAATCAAGCACAAAATGCAGTTTTCCCCAAAACAACTGAAGACATGCACATATGCTTACTAACTGTCTTGTCCATATACTTCAAGTTGCATTGCAGTATAGTGTCATAATCCAGCTTTCAGAAAACAATTTCAGAAAAATTCTTAGTGGAAAATAACCCATTTCTATACCATTCTTATTAGCAGTGGTATCTTGTGAAGTTTTAAAAAGAAAATTAATTTTTGGAAAAAAAACAAGTTTTGAAGAAATTAACAGAGGCATCCAATCAACTTTAACTTACAGTAACTGAAAAATGCTGACAATCAGATACCCAAGTTAAAAAGGATAAATCCTAAGCATATGAAACGCAATAAAAACATGCTTTTCACACAGAATTTTGCTGATCTCCCTTTTTAAAGATTTTAAGACACCTAAAGCCAGAATGAGTTATACTGTGAACTCATTCTACATGTCAGGATCATGCCAGAAGCAGGTATTACACTACAGGAGAGGCAAAAGTACCTCTCTAAGTAGGAGCTATGATTAATAAATCAAGTAGTAGTTTTGAGTTTTGAAGCCTAAGGGGCAGGGCATGTTCACACCAAAAAATGTCTGGTAAGAATAAAATGAAGAAACATGAAAAAAAGGAATGAACAGGAAGGGAAACAAACCTGGCTGCCACATTCTGTTGAAATTGGGATCCCCCTGAAAATTATTATGGTTGTTTGGACCAGACTCTATTCCTGAAATATCCTGTCCGTTTGGCATCATTCCTTGTTGTTCCACTACATTCTGTTGCCCTGAGGCTTCTCGCTGAGCAATCCATGCTTGAGCTAATGCAGCCCAGTCAATCTGGCCTAAAATAAACAGAGGAAGTTAAAAAGGTTAGAACTCACACATTTGAAGTTTAACACTTTCTCAATTATGTGTCTTATTGCTCAAGATAAATGGGCAACATTTACCTTCAGCAAGCACTGTGAGCACCATTTAAACTTATTCACAGTGTACAGTCAAAAAAACCAAATCAAATGTCAGTGTACAGACTTGCTGAAGTACAGTTTCTCTGCATATGTTCAAAATGTTGTAAAACAGATTATTTTACATCCACATTAGGACTGAATGGGTGGTAGAAATGCATTTTTTTCATAGATGAGATAATTCTGACATCAGAAATTAATATACATATCCTTAAATTATAAATTCATTAAGATTTGAGAGTAAAAAAGATACATAGTTAGAAAATTATTTTTCAATGTACACTCTTCATATAACCCTTGCCATATATTATGTTACAGTTATCGCTCTCAGATAAGAACACTAGTAAGTCTTCTGCTTATTATCAAGTCAGAAAAACTCTCCAGTGAATTTAACAAAAATTAAAGTGAGAGTAAAACCTGTGTGCCTGATCACTTTGCATTAAATACATACCTGCACTTTCATCCATTTCTCTATTTCTCTTGATATTTTGAATTGTTCCCACCTCATTTCAATTTAAGGTATATTATGTTCTACTGTTTAAAGCATTTGGTGGTTTTGGTGGGGAAAAATAATTTCAAACAAGAGATCATGATTATCACTGCTGTAACCTAAATCAAGACCCATATTAGTTTTCCAGTGAGATTTTTTCCCTTTATATATAATCTGCATTAATACTTCTGCCACACAGGTACTGAATAAAAAAGCAGATTCTCCCAAACAAAGGATTTAGCTTGGCTGAAGAACTGACAGCTATACAGATCTGGTAAATGAGGTCTAAATGTTGATCTGTATGACTGATAAAATGTTGGTAATTTGTGTAGGATAACTCATACCTTTTGCCTGTATTTGCATATTATATATTAACTATGTGAAAATATTTGGAACTAATGTATGTTTTCTATTTTCTACTTCAGAAAAGCATCACAAACGTATTATCTTAAGAGCAGCTACAAAGGCAACTATGAGTCATGCTCTGTTACGAAGATTCAAAAATTTAAATGACAACACATTAAAAGAACTAATCCACAAAGCTTTCTATATACTTACTTGGATCTTGCTGGTGCTGAAATGACTGCATCCACTGCTGTTGGTTCAAAGGCCATTGCTGCCAAGGTTGTCCACCTTGATCCCACATCTTTTAAGTCTTTATATAGTCTATATTTCAACTAAAAATAATAGTTGTATGTTTAAATAGATGCCCATGAAATATCACATAACTGAAACTTACATAACTGCAGATACAGTTAAGCCTTGCAAAGCAAGCTGAAGCAATGCTGGCTTAATATTTTAAGCTGGAGGAAAAGGTTCATCCTTTAGAGTAATATCTGAAATATTACTGAAAGATTTCAGGAGTCTAGTACGCTTTCTCTATATTTTCACAAAGAAATTAACTACCAAATGATGTTCAAGGAGAGATATGACAAGTTTGTATGACAAGATCTCATCTGGCAATAAATGCAATTTAAAGCAAGTAAAAATATAAAAGGCACGATTGGTATCTTTGCCTGCTTCTTAAGGAAAAGATGTGTATTTCTCTAAACAAGTGTCATGCAAGGCTGTTAAGCAAGACAAAAGTCACCAAATGGTAAAACACATTGTTAATGATTGCACAGGACAACTGCACAGGTACAAGACAGTGCCCACATGCATGTTATACATTGTACAGGCTCATTTTAATGTCCAAATAATATACACCTTCAAATCTGAGAAAGAAAAATAAATATGACCACACAATTACCACCATCCCTTAAAACCACGAGAAACAATTTTTGCCGTGCCGTATATGCTTGCTGAGCAAGCAGCAGCCCTAGGTCCAGATGGCAGGCAGCAGAGCTCCACAGCCTGCTTAGGGTGAAGCTCCAGCGCCAGCTCTGTGTGAATCTGATGAGGCACAGCAGTCCAAGCAGGTGTGCTGCAATGGCACACCAGTTCTTTCCAGTCTTTTGTACCTCTGGCACACACCTAACCTGCTACGTGTGGAAGACCTGAGAGCAGTCACTTGCATTGCTCCCAACAGTTTCTCCGAAGACAAAGACTAGGCACAGTTCTGGGAACACTTCACTCCAGAAGCTGTTCCCAAAAACCAGTATGGATAGAAATGCACGGAGTGTGACCCCCTCTGTCCTACCCAATCTGTTAAAACTTCTCAACAGGCTTTCCACTCAATGAATATATCCTCATGGAATTGAACGTACAATCCCTGAGTTCACGCTATTAAAACATCAAGCATGTAGGTTGTTTCAAGCAATCCAAACTCAAAAGAAAGAGAAAAATTCATCCCCTGAGGTCACAGGAGCAGCATACGGGACCCAGTCATGGCTCACAGCCAAGAGCAATACAAAATAGATGAATAGAACCTCTCTGCTTCAGAGCAAACCAGTTCAAAGCAGCCAGTGCCACTTGGGTGGCCAGCCAGGAGCAACCCCAGTGGCTCTGAGGGAGCGGGACACACACACCCCACAGACAGAGCCCGCTCTGGGCACAAGGACAAAGCAACTGGACTGGAACCTGCTCGCAAAGGCATCTTGTGCTCGCCTGCTCACACAAGGAACTGCATGACTGCTTTGAAGAGAGCATCACTCTACAGAAGTGCACCATACAAAGAGCTGCACTCAACACCAGGGGTACCAGCCCATGCAGAGATGAATGCAAGCTTGTATGCTGCATATTTCTGTCAAATTAAATCTTTTATCTGTAGATCATCTTTGTTTTGAGACCACTTATTGTCAGCACTGTACAAAAAATTACATGTGTGGCTCTGAAACATTCACTTGCAAATGCCTTTTAGAGGGGCCTTAAACAAGACCAGATCAACTCTGGCAACAGGGGGAGTATTGGAAAAAACCTATCTAATACTTTATTATTTTCACTATCTTTTCTTGCCAAACTAAGTATGGAGGCTTTTTCCCATTTCATGAATACTTTTATGCTATTCAAACCATTAATAAGTGAAGACATCACCCTTTCTTTTGTCTCTTCCCATTTTTATCTGTACCTAAGAAATTAACTTATTTCACCAGTTGAGTGTACAGGTGGCTACTAACACACTTAATGCAACACTTTAGCTGACTTAAACTAGCTCTCCAGGAATTCATAGACACGTATTTCATACACTAGGCATGAGGCAGTAACTGCAAATAATATTTTCACCCTATAGTAAGAAAAGGTAAGTAAATGTTTCTTCCTTCCCTCAGTTCATCTTTCCATCCAGAATAAAAATTCTTTCAAATGTCAAAAGAAACTTGTTTACATCTTAAAAGTTATAAGAATTGGGGTTCAAGACTACTGCACAGCCTCATGGTGTCGCTTCCTTTGTTTCTAGCTGTTAAATCCTACCAGCAATAATAAGCATCAATTTCACAAATTCTGGTAGTACTTTTTTACCTCAATACATATTATGTTTCAACAAGTTTATGGAATTACACTAAAACTTAGCAAAAGATTTAAATTTTTTCAGTAATGATTTAGAAGACAGCTTTGCATATAACTGAATGCAAAAAAAAAAAATTCTACACAGTTAAATACCAATTTCTCTCACTGAAGTGTAACAATATTAAGACCACTTCTACAAATGAAACTAAATTGGAACCTCCTACACACAGCTTTCATGTGATAGGATTAGATGAGATTTATTTTTACTGGACTGGCCCTGTCTCTGTCCTAAAATCTTCAGTATTCCAGATTTTTTAAACATGTTCCAGCTAACACAATTATATATCTATTTCTCAATTGAAATGGACACTTAAAATTCCGCCCATTTTTTGTTTCTTACTCTCATGTCTTGATCCTCAGCATGGACAAACTGAAGCACTTGTTTAGATCATTAACAAGGTCTAAGGCAACAAATGCCCCTCCATCTCAGTAAAACCTGCCCTCCCAAGACAATAACTGCCTTATTATTTTACAAGACATTCAAATAAATCTTGTGGGAAAGATATATTCCCTTGCAGCCTGTAGCGACTGGCATGTGAAATAGTGACCAAGGGATAAAGTAGATAGGCAGTGACCTCAGGCAGCAGCAGCATTCATTCACCCCCTGGCTGCCCTGCCAGCACATTATTATGCCCTAGGACAGCGAGGGCAAATCCACACTCCTAAAGTAAAGGAAGTGGTACTGAAGGACCCCACTGTGTCCCCTTTAGAGAATAGCACTGCCCCAGGCCACCCCGCACTCTCTGGGTGCTTCCAAGCCCGTCTCAGGTGTCAGCATGGACCTGGGAGCCCACAGGCAGTTAGGACCTGTCCAGTCTAGTTTGGAAGGTCAGAGGCTTTCACTCAGCACCACCTGGCCGCAGAGCCAGAATAAAAAGCACAGTTGGGTTTTAGCTGTTAGCATACATAGTTGCTCATCCACTGCTCTGCAACATAATATAGCCCAGTCTTCAACTTGCCCTAGAGAGATTATTTCACCTTATTCCTGCTGCTCTGGGGAATGAAATCAGGTGGAGAAGTACAAAGCAATATGTCATGGCATGGAGCTGGTTTATATTTTGATGCACAACATTATGACAAGACAGCAACAACAGTGTAAAACCCTGAAGAACTTCAACATTTGATTAATTCAATTTATGCCATTCAGAGCAAAATAATTTAAAATCACTGCTATTTGAAACAGCTAATTTTAGTTTGTGAACTGTATCTGAAAGGTTTTAATTCTGTATTTCATTTGTACTTCTACGGTTTTCTTGAAGAAATGCTGAGTTTCATAGGATCGCAAGTATAAAATATGCTGGCTTTCAAGCACACATATTTATTACCAAATTCAATGTAAAAACATACTTTACTGATCAGAAATATGTACTAAACAAATACTTAAGCAATGACATCACTCTTTTTATGCAACATGCAGAAGCTCTTTTTCAAATATGATGTGAAAACTGTCCAAAACTGATTTTTATTTCAACACATCTCCCTTATTGAGCAATGTGTGTTTTACAGAAACAGGAATTAAACATGGAAGGAATAAAATTCACACTTTAAAATGTTTATAGAAGTACTCTTTACATATACAGGCTAAAAGAAAGTCACATGTATTCAAAATTTTTAATATTGAAGACTAGATGTGTGGCTCAGAGCCATTGAACAGAAGAGATTAGTTCTAGGGCCTCTCTCTATATTGTGACCTGCAACAGCAGGACATAATTTTCTGGGAAACAGAGTTCCCTGCTTTTTAGTTCTCCACTTATTTTCCTGCATTTTCTCCAAGTTTTCACCAACTGATACAAGGTAAACAAGAAAAAGGTACTTGATACAATTACAGGGAGGGTAAAGGCATTTAAAGATGGTTCATTGCCTTCAAAAGCTGTTTTGCCAAGTACTGCAGTATCTATTTATATAGATATTAGATATTTATATAGATATTAGTTTCATCTGCTTTTAAGTTTCAGAGGCAAAAACCCCACTGAAACTTTTAGCTCTTCATTTGCAGTTGCCATCTTCTAAAAGATAACTAATGTAAGCATTTATGCTACTTGATGTTACTCTTTTTTACCTAAGGGCATTAAAGGCTTGAAACAACTGGAATCTCTTGTCCTAATGCATGTGATAAGAAACAACCTGAGACACAAGTAGCAATTACTAATGGAGAAAAGAGACTCAAAGTCCTCTCCCACTAACTAAAATCTGCACTGACAAAACTAACTTAGGATGCTGCCACACAAACAATAAACAAGTTTTTATTTCTTAAAAGTTCTGAAATCAGCACCACCTGAAATAAAGAGGCTTCACACCTAATATAACTGACAGCTCTATTTCCCACCAGCGATCTAAGGCCAAATATGCAGCAGAGCATCCAAATCACAGTGAAACAAGCTTTATTTTCTACTGAAGCTGGATGGGAGGGAGATGAATACTGGCTAAAATTCACTCAGTTCAAACGTTACTTTAGACACTTAGTAACAGAAGGGTGCCTCAAGTCCTTAAGACGTACTGGTTCTGACATCACTAGTGCATACAGGAGGTTTGAAAAGCAACAGGCGCAAAGAACGGATCCCTTTTACAGGCACCTACTTCCAAAGGAAAACACAGATACTACCCCTCCTTTACAATGATGGGTTAAGGTTCTTTCACTTAGCTGTTCTGTCCCTTAATTCAATTGGACATAGCCTTTTTTTCTTTCCTCTCTCTCAAGCATACACAAAGAAACAAAAGAACATTTATTGGTGCT